TGGACAGCCTTGTCTTGTTCCTGATATAAATTACTTTTTAAAAAGTGAAAAAAGAAAAGAAAAATTTTAAAAAGAATGAAATTAAAAAGAAAGAAAAAAGAAAAGTTTACACAACACACACAAAAAAGAATTCCTTAGAGAATGACCCCTGAGGAGGGGTTAGGTAGAGGGAAGTGGCTCATTGGGTAAGCATGTGTGCCACCATTTTGGAAACAGCTGACCTTCACAAGTTGCTCTCTGCTAACATGTATGCTGTGGCATGCATGTGCACACACAGACACATACAAATAAAAATATGTAGAAAGAACAATTGCTAGGAAGCTCGAGCTCTTTAGAGCACAATGAGAAGAGAATCAAGTGTAACAGACCAATAGTGAATGCATTGCTTCTTCTTCACTTTGTCACCCCAAGGTAAACCTGTCGCTGTGACAAAACAGCTGACCTGCCACTTAAAGAAGGAAGAGTTTATTTGTGGCTCGCGGTTTCAGAGGGTTCATTCCAAGGCTGTTTGGCGCCCTGCACTTGGCGTGGGGGAACACGGTAGACATCTGTTCGTGCTGTCACAGACCAGGAAGCAGAACAAGGAAGGAACGACGGGCACTTACAAGCATATGCCACCGTGTCTGGCTTTTCTTGGCTCTGAGATATCAAGCTCAGTCTTCACACTTCCCAGGCGAGTGTGTCACCGTCTGGTTTATCTGTCCCCCCCAGCCCATCTGCATTTTGTTAGCCAATTTACTCAGCCTTGCAGAGCACCCAGCCACGCAGCTCAGGCTTGTGGGTTCAAAAGGTGGTTGACAGTCCTTTACAGGGGTCAAAGTCAGTGTGACTGGTCATGATCAGACTATTGCATAAATGAGTGCTAGCAAGAACGACACAGGAAAACTACAAGAGAGAACTGTCATTTCACATAACATTTGTCTCAGTCAAAAGCCTCAGTTTCATGCATGGAGAGTGTGATGGGTCACAGAGAAATCAGCCAGATCCCCTACCTGGAATATGAAAAGGGCTACCAGGGGAATTCTATTTTAGTTTTCATTTTCCCCAAGGTAAACAGGCTTCACATGCAAGCAGCTTTTCTGCAAAGCAGTTCTAAGGAAAAGTGAGTGAGAGGGCAAAGAGAGACAGGAGGGACCAAACGCTGACAGCGGGTGTACATTGCAGCTCTGGTGGCAGCTGTGGTCATCCAGGTCTCCATCTTGCTGGGAGCTCTCTGAGGAGCTGTGTCAAAGTGTCCCACTAGAGCAGAAGTTGGCACAGGCACAGTTCTCTGCACAGGGCCTGGTGGTAAATATTCTCTACTTGGCAAGCATGCAACCTGCATCCTCATAGAATAAAAGCAACTACTGGCAGCATTTGCATAAATAGCAGAGTCTTTATTTGCAAGGACCAGCAGGCTGGATTGACCCTACAGGCCCAAATTTGCCAGCCCCATCACTTGAGCACAGGGAGACGGAAGCATTGTTGCTTCCACAAGAAATCTTTCGGTGTTGACGTTCACCCTCGGGAGCAGCCGCCCCCACCCCTCCCAGCTTCAGTATGGTGCTTATCAAGCAAGAAGGAGGGTCTGTGCTGGGAACCCCAGAACTCATGTAAGAAGATGGGTGTGGTAGCTCAGACCTGTCATCCTCATGCTGAGAGGGTGGAGACCAGAGAAGGCCTACAACAGGCTGGTCAACTAGTCTTGCTGAATTGATGACCCAGGTTCAGCAGAGACCCTGCCTCACAGCAGTAAGGTTGAGCGTGCTGGAGGAAAATGTGTGAAAGCTACTCTACCTCTCCGCATGCTTGTGTGTACACATACAGAGGCGCCTCCCCATGCATATGCACATAACAAATGCTCAAGCCACACATACATGCACACACGTGAAGAAAATACGAGTCGATGCCTGGTATGTGCTTGCGAGTAGGAGAGGGGCTCACAAGGACACGCAGGGCAGTCAGTAGTCAGGTGGGGCGGAGGGATGTAACAGAATGCCTCCTGGGTATCTGTCCACCAAGTGGCCCGAGAGAGGCTGCGGGAATCAAGGCACACACTCACGTTTTCATCTGCTCACTGAGATGACGTGGCTGGGTCATCCCACTTTCTGCCAGTGTCACCCTTCCTCTGGAGACACCAACATCGAGCCGTTTTTCACTCCTCATGACTCATTCCCCAGTGAAACTAATTGTTGCACTTTGGGGAAATGTTTCCTTTCAGTTCTTCAGATTTAGCTGTGTATTCAGCTTTCATTCCTAGTTTGTCACACACACACACACACACACACACTCCCATTTCAAATAATTTCCTCTGAAAACTGTCCACACAAAGGATTCTCACCTAATTATTCCTATGCAGCCTAAGAGACACAGTCTGTGTTATGCTTTTAAGTTCATTTTCATTTCCACACGCTTTCCCTTTCTTTTCCTCCCAAATGGATATTTCTAATTACTCCCCTCTTGGCTGTTTTAATTTCACACATTTTTGTGCCCTTAGAAAACCAAAGACTGAACTATATTCACATGCAAGTCATCAAACAGCATTTAGATGGGGAAGATTTTTGCAGAAACATGTCTGTTGTAGATGAATAAGCCTGAGATTATTCCTTATTATAAACTGCATCGCTAGCGGAGGGGAGAAGGAGGGTTCATGGCCCAAGTTACTTTTAGTGACCTTTTATTTGCATCTTATATGTCGAAGAGCTCCCTACCATGATAGCCACATAACCAACACTCTCACATGACTTACAAGGAGCCTAAGGTTCAGCGTTTGGAAAAATTTATAGACAAAGTTAGTTGTGAGATTGGCTCTACTATTGGATCCCTCTGTCTCGACCCAGCCTGCTTTCTCGTGTGTCTAATGTGCAACTCTCTTTTGGACTATGGAAATGCAGGGGGTATCTTTTGTCTCTCAACTTCTCATAAGGATTTTGTGATGCATGCCCACCTACTTTATAAGACAGTATATGAATGGTTTTTTTTCTTTTAAATACAAGTAGATCTTGGGCAGATAGATTATTTGCAAAGACAGCTATAAAAGTCCCTCTCATCTCCATGTTCTCCTGATGTTGCCACTGCTCCTATAGACAGAGATAGAAGAAGAGATAGACAATAGATAGATAGATAGATAGATAGATAGATAGATAGATAGATAGATAGATAGATAGACTGATTGACTTAGGAATAGGGACAGAGATAGAGTTCAGGATTGGAATACAGAGAAGGGGATGGATGGAATGATAAGCATATGGATGGGAGTATAGATATTAGAGGTGTGGTGATAGCTTGCTTGTACAAATAAAGCCTATCTGAAGGCCAGAGAATGGGCCTTGCTACTAGTTAACCATAGAGGTCTGGAGGTCTGTACAGACAGACAGGAAGTGAGGTAGCTGGGCGGAAGCAGGATATGAGCAGGGAGAAACAGGAACTCACTCTCTTGTCTGCTGACACACTAAGGAGGTAAGGTGTGGCGGTGACTTACTCCTTCTTCTCCCTGATCTCTCAGCATTTTTCTCTATATCTGACTCCAGTTTTTTATTACTTAAACGAATTAAGAACTCTATTTACAGGTAAGGAAAAAGAGACGGGGCAGATGGAGGTAGAAAGATGTGTGGAGTTATAGTGTTAGAGGTAGGAATATGTGTTATGAGAGAGAGAGAGACAGAGACAGAGAGAGAGAGACAGAGAGAGAGGGAGAGGGAGAAATAAGGATACTAATACGGATAGAGGTAAAGTTAGAAATGTGACAATGGAATGCCCAGGTCTCAGAACGTCTCTTGAAACACACTGATACCCTGTGAATGAGCCTAGGCTCCAATGATTGAGGACAGGACAACAGCTCCCCTTAGGCCATTGTCTCATTTCAGCCGATCGTTACTGAGCTACATGAGTGACCCTAGACAATACCAGTAGAACCATCCTTCTAAGCACATCCCAAAATGCTAACCCACAGTGATGAGCAAGCGTTAGTCCTTGCTTTAAGTCAGTTTCGAGGTGATTTTGTTATGCTGGAACACACTAGCAGTGGGTGTCATCATGGTCCCCAACTTTGTAGAACTAGAGATTTCCCGGGGTCTGGCCCAATCACTGGTGCCTCAGAGCATGCTGAGTTTTCCTTCCCTTTTGAGACATTCAGTGTTAGATCCCAAGACTTACACGCATGACCTCACTCTGCAACTTTCTCACGCAAGGACACAAGCTCTCCTGAGGGGTGGTTATGACAACCCTTCTCCACGATGCTCAAATCTCAATACTGGCTGTAGATAACGAGCCAGGAATACGCTCACCTCATAGTAGCTGGACAAGTGAGGTTCCTGTGATTAATAGAAAACACTATGCTGAGTGGCCCGGAGGCTGAAGGCTTTCCATCTATTTCACAGTAGTGCCCCGGGAGGAAAACTACCACTGCTGGTATCCCTAGGGTTGTGCCCTGAAGAGCAAGTTCAACCTTTCATTAGACTCTGTGGCACACCCTAATATCCTCCAATAAGTCTCCTTTCCTACATAAGTTATCTTGTACCGTTTTTGAGCTCAGCTGCTAGTGATAACCAGATACTCTCTAACATAAATAATAAATTAACGCAGGCCTTGTCCCCTCCTTTAGTGAGACTGAGGCCCAAGGCTGGTCCCGAAGATCACTTTTCTGCTGTGTGGGGAGCCTGTCTCACTGTCAAGTCAGAGAGCTGGTGTCTTGTTCCTGTTTCTGTTGTTGCTTTCCATCTACTGCCCACTGAGCGCACAAAATGAGTTTGCGCAATGAGGAACTAGTGGATAGAGCCGGTCTCCTCCCTGCCACTCCATGATCTCATCACGTGGTCTCGGCTTCACTGTCAGGGTCAGCTTGACTGCTGCAGCAGAAAGAGGAGAAAACACAGAGGATGCTGCCTGTAGTGTGTACCTCAAGAAACGGGTGCTGTGTGCAGGGTCTGTCCCCGGCCGCCTAACGGAGCAGGTGTGGCCGTTATATAACCTCAGCTCCCACAACAGGAAAAAAAAAACTATATTCCTCTACAAATGACTTGAGTATCCTAATTTTATATAAGACTTAAAAGAACTGAAACCTTACATAATTTTCACAATTCAGGTCCCAGCAGGGGGGGGGGAGACAAGAGCAGGTAGAAAAGCCGTTTTCTGTTGTGTTTGCACACGGAAGGTGAATGCCGCTGGGCAGCCCCTGAGGACATCGTGTTAGCAGTGAGAGACCAACACTCACGTGGCGAGGCAGGCTCCCTGAGTTCGAGGAGCCGGGGAACAGATCCGGTTTTGTAGCCTGAAAGAAGCAAATGTCCAGCAAGTTAGAACTACAGGGATTTACAGCGCCACAGCGATCTTTGCTAAGAATGAATGAGTCAAGGGGAAGATGTCACGTCCTTCCAGTTCTCTGAGGGCATGTGAACAAGGCATTTGAGTGGACTTACAGCTTAGGGAACTTGGTGTCTCTTAGTGAGCGTTTTCCCACTGATGGGTACCAATTTTTAGGGCAAAATTCCTGATTCTAATTAGAAAAAGTTTCCCCCTCCATTTTCAAAGAAACCAAAATATGGGTTTTCCGCGAGTTAGTAAAAAAAAAAAAAGATCAGTTTTTCTTGTGGAATGACTAAAAGGGGCAAAATGACATAAATGTAAAAGTGGAGAATCTCTCTTCATCCTACTTTACACATCTAAAAGTTTAAAAGAAATTCCTTTATACTTACTAAAATACTCCTAGGGCTTTAGTCATCTTAAGAAGATGTGTCTGAAGGTGAATAGATGACTCAGTGACTAAGGGCACTTAGTGCTATGCTCTTAGCATCCACATGGTGGTTTACAACCATCTACAGCGCCAGTTCTGGGGGAATCGGGTGCCCTCTTCTGGTCACCACTGGCACTGCATATACACAGGACACAAGCAAACACACACACACACACACACACACACACACATGCACACATAAAATAAACAAAGAGAGGGGGTAGAGAAGGAGAGAAGGTAAGGAAGCAGAACCAACCAAATACAGTGGGATAATCCCAGAGCTCAGGAGGATTGTGAGTTTGAGAGGCCAGCCTGAGCTACAAAGCAAGACTTCATCTCAAAGAAACAGACCAAAAATGAAGGAAGAAAGGGAAAGGAAGTAGGGGAAGAGAAGGAAGAAGGAAGGGCTTGAACTCCAGTGCCACATGAACAGTGTGGTGGTGCATGCCTGTAACCCTGGCACTTGGGAGGTAAACAGGAACATGGATCAGAAGTTCAAGGTCATCCCTGACTGCAGCAAGTTCAAGGCCTGCTTGGTATACATAGTAATTCTAAGCCAGCCAAGGGCACATGGTGAGACCCTGTTGAGAGACAGAGAAAGAAAGAGAGAGGGGGGGAGAGAGAAAGTGAGAGAGAGAGAGAGAGAGAGAGAGAGAGAGAGAGAGAGAGAGAGAGAGAGAGACTGAACTTCCGTGTTCCTGGCATACTAATTCCCAGAAAAGAAGGAACATAGCAGTAGCTACCATTCTGTCAACAAACTGTGCCCATGATATGCAGAGCACTTTCTTTCACTCTTGCATGTACATTAATTCAGAAACATTTACTGATAAAAGTTGTATACCAGGTGTTATGATAACTCTTCCCGCCAGCCTGGTCAACCCTAAATAATACACAGAGACTCTATTAATTACAATGCTGTCAGCCAATGTCCAGCGCTTCTCATTGGCCAGTTCTGTCTTAAGTATTAACCAATAACTACTAATATGTACATTTCTATAAGGTCTTATCTTACTGAGGACACCAGCCTCACGTGTCCTCTCTTCCTGGGATCACATGGAGACTCCTCACTCTTGACTACATTTCCCAGAATCCTCCTTGACTCCTAGTCATGCCTATCTTGCTTCCCTATTGGCCAATAGTGCTTTGTTTATCAACCAATAGGACAAGCATATACACAGAAGGACTTCCCCCATCAGCCAGGTGTTTGTTTCAGTCAGTGTTCTATTGCTGTGAAGAGACACCACAACCATGGCAACTCTTAAAGAAAGCATTCAATTGGAGCTTTCTTACAGTTTCAGAGGTCAGTCCATTATTATCATGGCGAGAAGCATGGTGCACACAGTCAGACATTGTGCTGGAGAAGTAGCTTGGGAGTTCTACATCCAGATCCATAGGCAACAGGAAACGAGAAACACTGGGCCTGGTTTGAGCATTTGAAACTCCAAAGCCCACCACCTATGACACACTTACTCCAACAAGGCCACTGTACTGCCACTACCTAATAACACAGCATTCAGATATATGAGCCTATGGGAGCCATTTCTGTGCAAACCACCACACCCGGCAATGGGCTAAGACAAAGAGAATAAAATACAGCTCCGAGTCTAGGAGGGTATCTCAATGGTTAAGAGCACATACTGCTCCAAGCAGAGGACCCCAAGTTTGGTTCCCATCACCCATGTTGGAGCAACTCACAACTACCTGTGATTCCAGCTCCAGCAGGGTCCAATGCCTTTGGCCTACACAAACACCTGCATTTGCATACATGCATGTATACACACACACAAATTAAATCAATCAAAATAAATCTTTGAAATACAGTTGTCATAAACAAGCCTACACTATATTCCAGAAATTTTGTGTTCATTTATTCTCATACACCCAGTCATGAAAATTAAATTTGTCCTTCCATCTCCTCTTCATCTCCACCATGGTCAAGGTCATCACTTCATAAGTGAATCGCTGGAATTGTCTTCTTATTGGAATGTCTGTACCTAACTTAATCTTTGTCCATGGATTTCTTTTCATAATTATTACATTTTGTGAGCACATACATGTGTTTGGGTGCATGAATGTGTCTTTATGTATGGATGCATGCATGCATGCATACATTAGAAGTCAAGACAACTTATAGGCGTTACTTTTCTCCTTCCGTCATGTGAGTATCATGAACTCAAGTCATCAGACTTAGTGGCAGGCTCCTTGACCCAGAGAATCATCTCTTGGCCCTGTCCATAGATTCTTTGTATGATTTTGCCCCCAATCTACCAAAAAGACTCATTTGGTCCTTATTACATCTCTGCTCAAAAATGGCATATGGTTTGTCAATAGAAGACTCTCTGTAGAGTCCAAGATGGCTGCAGGCCAGTTCTGGAAGGAAGGGAAAAGAAGGAGCTTGGGATGATGGGTATACATTCTTTGGAAAAGAACCAGTAACACAACGACCCTGCAGTTTTTGAAATAGCTTCATTTTTTTTATGTTACTTCAATCTTTGTCCATTCAAGGAGACAACATAGGCAGTTGCAAGTGTCCTCTATTGTGCACATGTGGAGAAACTAGCTAGAAATCTCAGAGCTATTGACTCTCCAACCTAGGCCTACCACCTACCTCTCCTGTTCCCTCTAGCCATAGGCCAGCCCTACTGCGGGGCTCTCGACAAAGACTCGGGGAGTCGGTTGGGTTGGTAGGCTTGCACACTTCATTTTACCTTATTCCTCCAGTCCTGTTCAGGGTTTCTCCTTTTTGCTGGCAGCTTTGTCTGGAAATCTGCAGTTTTTGCAGCTAACCATGGGGCTCACAGATTACAAAGCTGTGTCCTCAGACTGCCTAATGCATGCTTCCAGGGCCAGGTCGTTAATTACGTCCTTGCTGTCTTTTTTTTCTTAATAAAGAGAGGTACTAGGTGTTAAAGAAGGAGACAAACTGGATAATTCCAGAACAAACCACCGTTAACTCTCATTAAATAATCCCATTAAGACCCCCAAATTATTGCATTCCAACCCTTTCTGGAAGGGTTTATTGTTCTGTTCTATTTGTTGCTGTTTGTTTGTTTGTTTTGAGACAGAGTCTTGCCATGTAGCCCAGCTGGCCTCAAACTCATGCCATGGGAATCTTCCTGAGTCAGTCCCCTCAAGTGCTAAGAGAACCCAGTCTGGCTTTCCCATCATGTGTGTGTTTGTAAGGTGAATATGTGTCTTCATGTGGATGTGTACATGTACATGTAAGGGCATACATGTGTGCTGTGTATGTGTGTTCATGTGCAGGAACAAATGTATAAACAGGTGTGTACATGCATGCATTCCCGTGTGTGTGTGTGTGTGTGTGTGTGTGTGTGTGTGTGTGTGTGTGTGTGTGTGTGTGTGTAGGCAGGTCTGAAGTCAATGACGACAGATTTCTTCCTCAGTCACTCTCCAACTTATCTTTGAGGCAGCACCTTTCACTGGACCTGGAACTCCCTGATTTAGCCAGACAGCTGGCCAGTGAGCTCCAGGGATCTGCCCCATGTCTGCCTATCATCTCTGGAGTTATAGATGCCCCTGACTTTCATGTGGGTGCAGGGACCTGCACTCAAGTCCTCCTGTGGGGAAGGAAGCACTTTATAGACTTAGCTGGCTCCCCACAGAGATAAAGAAAGGAATCATCCTTCCATTTCTTATCACCTGCTTAAAAAAGAAAAAGAACCATGTCTCACAGCTTCAATTTTTTGACAAACAATGCAGAGACATTCTAGAAGTAAACATTCTGGAGTGTGGCAGCCTGGTCTCTGACTGATCAGCATCTTAGCATCTAATAATCAGGAAAGTGGCAAATGGAGATTCCTACAACCCCATCCCCCCCCACACACACACCTGTATTCCTAGACAAACTGTGAGTAAGGGAATTGGAGAGGGGGCAAGGTTTGCAGCAAGCCATTGGTGAGTCTCTTCACTGGCACATGAAGGTGGGGGGCTGGGATGGGTAAACCTAAATGTTAATTTCCTCCTCCGCTGCAGCAGAAAAGTTTGGGGTTGATACGGTGGAGTCCCTGAGTTGGTCCTCTGAGTTTTTCACAAGAAAATTGTTCACTGAACTCCCATGTGAACCTACACTTCCATCAAGATTCAAGGAGAAGCAGCAACATCAACAGCAATGGAAATTTTGCCCGCACTGAGTGTCACAGTAAAGTCTGTCTGACCTGTGGCTGTCAGGCTCATGAGAAAAAAGATTTGCTGTTGTGGATTGAGTAAATAAACATGCCTGGGAAACAACAGTGGCAGTCAATAACTCAGAGAGAGAAATGAGAATCGATGCTAGCTTCCTGATTATGATTGTGCTTGAAGAGCAACTAGCAAGAACAATATAAACACAGAGTTCATTTCAGACCCTAAGCCCGCCACACGGTTCTCGGGTTATTTGAAATGCAGTGTGATCTACAGTCATTTTTCAACTGGGTGACAAGGAAGGCAAGTTTAAGTAGCTACTGTAAGGCCTGTGTGCAAAGGGGATCTGAGGGACACTGGTCAGAGGAAGCCAATTTACTTTTGTGAACTCTCCTGGG